TAAGCCAATAAATACCTGAGATATTCAAAAGTATGTCACAATGACCTACTTTTTGGTCGACATTCTCTGAAAACCCAAGAGGCATAAACTAACAAAGTTTGATGATTCTAAGCCATTAAGTACAGGAGATACTTAAATATAGCCATAAAATGTCAAAAGTAGGTCATCGTGACCTACTTTTTGGTCTTTCTCCGAAAACCCAAGATGCATCAACTGACAAAGTTTGATGATTCTAAGCCGATACGTACTGGAGATACATAAATATAGCCATTAAATGTCAAAAGTAGGTCATCGTGATCTACATTTTGGTTGACATTTATCAGAGGCCTAAGATGCATCTGCTGACCAAGTTTGATAATTCTAAGTCAATAAATACCTGAGATATTCAAAAGTAGGTCATCATGACCTACTTTTTGGTCGAAATTCTCCGATAACCAAAGATGCATCAACTGACAAAGTATGATGATTCTAAACCAATAAGTACTAGAGATATATAAATATAGCCATAAAATGTCAAAAGTAGGTCACCGTGACCTACTTTTTGGTCGACATTCTCCGAAAACCCAAGATGCATCAACTGACAAAGTTTGATGATTCTAAGCCGATAAGTACTGGAGATACATAAATATAGCCATAAAATATTGAAAGTAGGTCACCGTGACCTAATTTTTGGTTGTCACTCTCCGAAAACCCAAGATGCATCAACTCACAAAGTTTGATGATTCTAAGCCAATAAATACCGATACTGAAATATAGTCGTAAAATGTCGAAAGTAGGTCACAGTGACCTACATTTTGGTCGACATTTTTCAGAGTCCCAAGATGCATCAGCTGACCAAGTTTGATGATCATTGGTCTGAAGGTAATCAAAATATGCCTTTTTAAACAACTTGAAAACAAATGCCTGCAAAATTCTAAAAGTAGGTCACAGTGACATACTTTTACTTAAATATGTTTTAAGGTCCCAAGATGCAGCAACTTAAAAGATTTGATGATTCCAACCCTCTCAGTGTCTGAAATAATGGGATGAAATGTTTTAAAAAGGATAAGTCATAAAGTTCAAAAAGTAGGTCACGGTGACCTACTTTTAAGTTGACGTTGTTCAATGACCCAAGATGCATCAACTGACAAAGTTTGATGATAATAGGCCTTAAAGTGTCCTAAATATGCCTTCAAATCAATTTGAAAACAAATTCCCGCAAAATTAAAAAAGTAGGTCACCGTGACCTACTTTTGAGTTAACATGATGTGAAGTCCTAAGATGCATCTACTTACAAGATTTTATGATCCTAGTCCTTATACACTGTAGTAAGCAAAATATAGACATTTTCATTAATTGTAAATTTAGGTCAACTTTGAAGTGACCTTGAGACCACGCCCTTTGCCCCAGGGTCATGCCTTGAACAATTTTAAATCTTCAGCATGTTCTGATCATTGTATGCAAGTTTGGTGAAAATCTACCTGGTGGTTCTGGAGAAGAAGATTTTTTTGCAACCAGTACTTTTGGTTTTGTTTTCCTGATTATCTCCCCTTGTTTTAGGGTCCCAACCCTTATTTTAGTATAAATGGTAGCCCTTGGGCCAAGGATACCCTGTGACAAATTTGACACTGATTGGCCAAGGGGTTCTTGAGTTATGGCCCATATTCTAAAAAGTTAACGCACACCGCACAACGCACACCGCACAAATGGCCATAGCATTAGCTCTTTGAGCCTTTGGCTCAGAAGAGCTAAAAATGCTTTTCTTCATTTGAGGCCATCTTTAAAAGAATGTTTGTTTGTCCTCTACTGACTAAGGGTAAAATTATAGGGCGAGTAAAAAGGTGGAAAAATCTTATTTCCAGCTAATTTTAACATATTTGTTGACGAGATAAGAGGAATAAAAAAAAATATTGTGTTCTGGTATGTAAAAAAAGGATTTGAATTGGGCCATTTCTAATAAGCCTGGAGAGGGCAACCGAATAATTTTTTAAAGATGGTCTGATCGAGGTACTGGTGGTATAATATTTAAAATAGTGCGATTTTTTTTAACTACCTAAAGTAAATAATGCAAAACTTCAAGAATTCATGCTTATATCATTTAACTTAAAGCTAGCTTAAGTTATGAACTAAAAGATGTTTGCAAGAAGTTAAGAACAATGGAAAAATTTTAAAAGATATGGAATATTTATACTATCACATGGACTTCAAATATTTCCACCCCTAGATAATAAAACAACACAATTTTTTTTTTGTAACATATGACTTTATATTTTTAGCGCTGACATGAATATCATCAATTAACATTTAGAAACTCTCTCGATCAAACTATTTTTTTGGTAGGTGGCTTTTTGCCACAATTTAACAGATGTAGCACAAACAGGAGTCACTTGTGAACAAATTTGGTGAAAACAAGGAAGCAAACAAACAAACTTCACACAAAGGGGAGGCAATATGTTGTTTTTAAGCTGTTTGTGCATATGTCCTTCACAAATTTTTCCATACATTCCATATGGTGGGATTCATTTCTGATCAATTTATTATCCCATGTTAACTTCCTGTTTATGCGTGTACCTGTCCATACTATACATGTATAACAATGATACATTTTGTCACAGTTTTCTCTTCAACTACTGATTGCAGATGCTTGGAATTTTTTGCACATTTTTTGCTAAGGTATACCATAGGGTGGGATTCATTTCTGTTCACATCCAATGTCAACTTCCTGTTTATCTGTATAACTGTCCGTTCTGACGTACATAACAAATTTTTGTCAAAGTTTTTCAGCAAATACCGATTGCAGATGCTTGAAATTTTAGCACATTCTTTGCTGAGGTATGCCATATGGTGGGATTCATTTCTGTTCACATCCAATGTCAACTTCCTGTTTATCTGTATAACTGTCCGTCCTGACGTACATAATAAATTTTTGTCGAAGTTTTCTCAGCAACTACCGATTGCAGATGCTTGAAATTTTTGCATATTCTTTGCTGAGGCATGCCATATGATGGGATTCATTTCTGTTCAAATCCAATGTCAACTTCCTGTTTATCTGTGTAACTGTCCGTTCTGTACAAAATAAATTTTTGTCGAAGTTTTCTCAGCAACTACCGATTGCAGATGCTTGGAATTTTTTGCACATTTTTTGCTGAGGTATGCCATAGGGTGGGATTCATTTCTGTTCACATCCAATGTCAACTTCCTGTTTATCTGTATAACTGTCCGTTCTGACGTACATAACAAATTTTTGTCAAAGTTTTTCAGCAAATACCGATTGCAGATGCTTGAAATTTTAGCACATTCTTTGCTGAGGTATGCCATATGGTGGGATTCATTTCTGTTCACATCCAATGTCAACTTCCTGTTTATCTGTATAACTGTCCGTCCTGACGTACATAATAAATTTTTGTCAAAGTTTTCTCAGCAACTACCGATTGCAGATGCTTGAAATTTTTGCATATTCTTTGCTGAGGCATGCCATATGATGGGATTCATTTCTGTTCAAATCCAATGTCAACTTCCTGTTTATCTGTGTAACTGTCCGTTCTGTACAAAATAACTTTTTGTCGAAGTTTTCTCAGCAACTACCGATTGCAGATGCTTGAAATTTTTGCACATTCTTTGCTAATGCATGCCATATGGTAGGATTCATTTCTGTTCAAATCCAATGTCAACTTCCTTTTTATCTGTGTAACTGTCCGTTCCGTACATAACAAATTTTTGTCGCAGTTTTCTCAGCAACTACTGATTGCAGATGCTTGAAATTTTAGCACATTCTTTGCTGAGGAATGCCATATGGTGGGATTCATTTCTGTTCAAATCCAATGTCAACTTCCTGTTTATCCGTACGTCTGTCTGTAACTGAACTTTTGTCTAAAGGTCATATGGTAGTGATACATTAATAAATGCGATTTAATTATCAGGGTCAAAAATAATCATGAAATGCATCTTAGATCAAATTTCAAGTCTTCATGTCAAAATAGTCATAAGTTATGATCTGTTCGTGTTTTTCTTAATTTGACTTTGAATGGTAAAAGGGGTCAATGTCAAACATTTTGATGTAGTACATTTAGTCTTAATTTGCCCTTCCTTGTTACAAAGTTATTACCTAGACTATATTTTTATGAAAAATATTGACCTTGCCTTTATTAATAGATCATGGTAAACAAATTTGGGATTCACCTATGCCACCTCCCCCTGTTCCAAGTTTGAAGTCTTTATGTCAAAGGGTTCTCAAGTCATGGTCAAATTGGGTTTTTTGGGGTCAAATCAAAATATATAATATTTTGCAGATTAATGGACAGACAGACATCTGACAAAATGTGATCAGAAAATCAGATAAGCTGAGCTAAGATGATCCAAACAAGACAAAATATCATTCAAAGTCTCCTGTCTCTCAAGCGTTTGAATGGTACATATGGTCTGTGTCGATGCAGAAGTGATGCCATTCCTAGGTGACTATCCCTGTAGATATCTCTATCAGTGTTCAGTTTTCTGCAATGGAGTTCCCGTCCGTTCTGTTTGGTAAGAGCAGCTATAGCTATCAAATCAGTTGTGACCTTCTGTACGTCTGCTTTGTAAGATGGTAAATAATGGAATCCCTTTCGATTTCTTGCCTCTGAGATTTTGTCAAAATGCTTGGCAGATTCCACCAGCAGAGGAAATTCCTTAGAATGCATCATTATGCTGGCCTTTGTCTGGTAGCCAGAACATACAACCTTGCTGTCTCTGTTCAAAATTTCCACGTACTCATCAAGGGCAAGGTTATGATTCTTCCCACCTTGAATATTTATGAATCTATTGGAAATCAGGCGCTGTCTTTGCTCACTATCCAAGACCTCTTTTGTCAGTGCAGTTAGATGGATGCTCCCTATCAAATATTTGATTTTGCCGGTCTTGTTGTACAACGGCAACTCGTACATGGCCGATCTTACACTTCGGTGACCATCCCCCATGTTCACTGCAGAGTCCAAATTTTTATGAAGTAATGTTAGTTTGAATAAAGCTAGCAAATACTCATTCAGCTAGTCATCAGCTTTATACTTTACTATTTTCTTCTTTGGACGTGATACTTGATGCTGATTGGCTTCGTGAATTTGTAAACTTCCCACGCATGCATATGTTTTATCGCAGTGGTGACACTGCAAGCGATCTTCAACTTTGTTTGAAACCCAATAGTTATCGGGATGATTTGGATCTGTAACAATATCACGGACATCTTTCATCATATCCTCCACATCTTCAAAGAAGAACATCTGCACAATAGTTTGGGTTTTGCTATTTAACCAACCAATCTGCTCATCAGTTGAATAATTTCTGAAGTCTGCTGGTAATGTGAAATCTTGTATCGAATTTAAACCTTCCAAATGTAGAAACATGGCGCAGCATATGGCATCCAACACTGTATAATACAGCATTTTGTGAGGCCTGTAGGCATTTTTCACTTTTCCTTTAACATCTCGTGAATTCAGGAGATTCCGGTAATAGGACATGGTACCTTGATCCATAGATGAATCGGTGTTGTACGTCAGTTTGTAAATTGCCTACAATATTTATTTCATAGTCAGAGTTCTCTCAAAATAGAATAATTTAAACTTTCTTGATGAATTTGTTAAAGTAGTTTTTAACTACTAGTATTTGAATTTGTTAGTTAGGCATTAACATAGCAAAAATTATGTATTACATATATTATGTATACTGTCTCTTAAGACTGGTATAATTCAATGAAAAACAGTTTTAATAATTATTGATTGCAAAAAACCTACCTCCATAAAATTCATTAAACGATGAAAATCCTCAATCTTTGATATAAATCCTTCAAGTCTTGATGCCTCAGTATTTCCATTCTTCATTGCTGCTTGTGCCCCCTGAATTCTTTCATCAGTGAGTCTATCTCCTTGAAAAAAGAAAAAGAAAATATCAAATTAACAATTTTTCTGCTAAGGTATTGCCAATGAAATGTGCATTTTTCTAAATAGTATCCCTAGTATTTCTAGGATATCATACTTAAACTTGACATAAAATATACCATCACACAGAATAAAAAAAAAAACTCACCACCAAAAAATATGGGTTCTACAAAGGTACCATCCTCTTTCATAGGAACATACTTCTTTTGAAGTGTCTGCAGAAGTTGAATAACATCCACAGTTTTCTTTTCATCACAGTCATACAACCCAAGTGGATACTAAATGTAAAAAAAATTAGGTTAATAATGTTATAATTGCATTTAACTAAATGCATAAATAAAGGGTCTGTTTGTCTTAAATGCCTTAAAATTTCCCTTTTCTTCACAAAAATTATATAATTGATCAGCTGAGACTTAAACACAAAAAATAACATTTTCTGTTCAACAGAAAATATTAAAAAGAATATTAAATACCTGTTTGGTTTTTAACCCGGCATAATTACTAAATTCATGCTGAAGATGGTCAGGATATATATCCTTCAACTCAGATTCAAGGGAAGGTATATGCTCAATCAGTATTGAAGCCACTAGGAAAACAAGCTCCTTTTCTAAAATCTTTTGTTCATCCAAGGAAGGGAGAAAGGAAGAGATGGTGATGTCTTCATTTACAGGATGCATCTCCTCTTCAACCACTGGTACTCTATCCACAACAGCCAGCACATTAAATAGATGGAGGGACTGGGTACTCTGTTCACTTGTTCTGTTGAATGAAATTAAACAATTTAATAATGAAATGACTCTAAATTAATTGATAGGTGTGTTGTAAATTAAGCCATGAAAGCCCCCACAGGCAGCAAAAATGCCATATTTAATTTTACACTTATTTGTACCATGACCAGATTTCAACTTGACCTGCATTTACAGGTAAAATATCTACATATGCACCAACTGCAATCTTATACATACTTCGCTACAAAGTTTTTCAAGGAAATTGTAGGTAACCTTTAGGAGGGTACCTGTAAAGTGCGAAACGAAATAGAAACGAAACGAAACGAAACGAACTGAAACGAAACGAAATCTGCCGAAACGAAACAAAATCTACCGAAACGAAACGAAACCTACCGAACGAAACGAAATCAAGACGAAACGAAACGAAATCAAAACGAAACCTGCCGTAAATTTTGATTATATTGTCTATTTTTACTTCATATGAAATTTATATAGTTCAAGTTCGCTTCAGAAAATAGGCGTACAGGTTTCAGGGGGGGGGTTAACCAAAAAAAGGTTAATGCCTATTAATATATATCTTTGAAAAATAAAAGTAAAAATGTCATATTTTATTAATATCTTACTGAATAATTTACTTACTTAAAATTGACATCGCTTTGAGAGACTTTTTACTTGTCAGTTAAATCGTTTTCCTCTTTACGGAGCCTCTTTTTTGCAAACCACCCATTTCTTCCTCGTTACCTCGATAAAAATAACTGTTGTACGTAGAAAGGATACACAAGTTACATGTATAACTGAACAATGAAATCAGACACCTTCATGAAATGGATTTAAAAAAGTTTTTATCCTATGTTTTGAGACATTTCAACACAACAGTACAGTGACTTTATGCTCCAGTTGAACAACATTTTGTTATAAAAATAAGAAAATACTGCACATATTGAAATTATACATGCATAGTACGTGTGACAGCTGGTAAACATGTAAATACATAATTAGACTGAAACGGTAATTTATCAATAATTTAAAATTTTATATTAAAAAGTGCTTGAACTATATATATAAACTTTATTTGAAGTAAAAAAAAAGTCTACATGCAGTTACACATTGTACTTTGATCTTCGCTATATACATTTTGATAGTTTTGTTTCGTTTTGTTTCGGCAGGTTTCGTTTCGTTTCGTCGTGATTTCGTTTCGTTTCTAGGTTTCAGATATCTTAAAGTTAAGGTATGTTTCGGCAGACTCACTGTGCCACTTTAATTGTAGGTAACCTTTAGGATCACCATGAAAGTTAATTGCTTTAAAAAAGTAACGGTTCTGTATTTTGCTTTGTTTTAAAAAAGGGGTATAATACCAGTAAATGCTTACCTATAGGACAGCAATATATCCTTGTCCCAGTTGTCACCAACCAGCTGATACCTTGCTGCTTGTGTGCATTGATTCACCCAGTCTTCTTTCAACTGCATAATTTTGCAATCAAGAATATGATGTGAGGAGGCCAACTTATTCTGAATTGACAATGGGGACACAGTCACTCCTAACTTGCACAGACGTTCAATGTCCTGAAATGTAATGTTTAAAATTTTTAACATACTGAAAAAGGAATGATGAGGTATATGTAGTTGGAAAAAGCAAAAAGAGTATACTAACCCTTTGAGTACACCCTCCATGTTTCAAAAGAAATCCACAAAGGTACTGCAGTGCGGAACTTTCTTGATTTCTTGCATGAAGCACAGTGGCAATGGAATGTAGCAATTGTATGTACTGCTTTTCTCCTGCAATAATTGGCTTGTCAGACACTAGTGTTGATATACACTTCAGCAGATTTGGTGCTTTACTCTCAAGGTCCTTGTATAAAGAATCCCAGGAAAAGCTCAGGAGTTCCTCAAAAGATTTTCTCTCTAAAATAGAACCACTGTGTCTCTGACAGTACTGCTTTGCTTCTGCTGCTAGCAATTTTGTTGCCCCATCCACAAGTTCCTCTGGGTAGGAATTAGCCAGAGCATCAATTATTGCTGGTATGTTGTTCCTCATTATTCCCTTGGAGACCTTCTGAAGAGTGTCGTTGACAACAAGAGCTGACTTTTTTCCAGATGGGTAGTCGATGGAAATCTGCATTACCAATTTAAAAGATTTTTCAAAATTTTTAACACAAAAATTATTAATACTTGATAATGGTATAAAACTCTGATATGGCATCTGACTAACAAATTTACAAGATACTTCAAAAACTTATACCTATAGTTTCAATATTATTTTTTTATTACAGTACATATATTAGATCATTTGTGCATAGTCAATTTTGTTACCATTTTAATGATCAACAAATTATTCCTGACCATTTACAATTATAATGATTGAATACTGTACCTTTCTACACTCATAAAATTGAAGAGCAATTCTTTTCACACAGTTGAACCATCATAACAGTAAAAAAATTCTTTGAAAAATAACTGCTGAACCAGAAAACTAGAAATCTGTCAAGAATTAAAGAAGAAAACAAAAATATAAAACAGTTACTAGTACAAACTTTAATTAACATTGTCATCCTAAAACAATCAACCCTTCAAATCAACTAAATACTTGAAAAAATTATTTAAAAAGTATTTAGGCCTTAGGCATCATTTTTGCACATCTATGAAAAAAATTCAGGTCAAATTCCATAAAGTGGGGAAAAGTGTGTTTTAAGATAAATAATTTACAGATGTTAAAATATATACAGTCAAACATCATTATCTTGAACCTAATGGGGCTGGAAAAAAAAATCATGAGATAATGGAGGATTCGAAACATTGAGAGTAAAATACTTAGGGAATATGTGATGGGACTGCCTCAATTCACTTTGACATACCCTGGGTATTCAAGATATCAAAGTTCAAGACACCAAAGTTCAAATGTTTATTATTATAATATTGCTAAATACCAGGTATAGTATTACATCTTAATAATACAGATAAAAATAAGTTCTCAGATTGAATGCTATGGGATGAGCAAAAAAAAAAAAAAAATACAAAAAACAAAACAAAAAACATCACTGAAGTATAATATAAGTCAAGCATAACAAGCAACATAAGTATAATGCCTCACCTCTACTTCTCCTTGGCCTTGAAAGGTTTTCATACCAGGTTTGTCTTCTTGTTCTAAGATTTAAAATAAAAATAAATATTTGAAAGTCTGATTTTACAATTAGAATGTTTATATCCATATTAGATATATATTCAAATGACAATTTCTGTTTTCCTTAGAGCTTTTATATGTTTAAGATGAAACACATCATTACCTTTAAAAAGATTGTCTCCAGAGGGCAATGGATGTAGATCCAGATATTTGGATTTGTCATCTGTGTGAGAAAGAGAGCAATTTATATTTAATCAATTCAAGAAAGTATAAGAAATCAAGACTAGTAAAGAACGTACTAAATTATGTAGCTATAAAACACACATTCCCAATTAATTCACTTTATATTTTTTAATTTTGATTTATTTGTTTGTTCATTTATTGTTTATATTGATTATTATAGGTCCTGAGATATGCTTAATAGGGCTTAAATCCAGAAAAGTGAGAGTAAGGTTTCCTAATGTATACATGGTATAAGATTGCATTTACATGTATTTATAAACAAGACGTTTATTTAATTTTTTTTTTATTTGTAACAAAATACAGTTCATGGATGAAGAAAATATGTGAAACCATACCTTCATTTTGACTTGAGTAATCATTCCCTCCAAAAGATAGGAACTTTCTTGCTGCTGTGAAGTTTTTGTCTTCATGACCTTTAACGTGAAACAATTTTTTTTTATACAAAATTTTATTCACATAAATTTCTTAATGACCAATCACATTCAGTAAAACATTTGAAATGTTTGATTTTTTAAAGTTCATTTTTCAGTTTCATTTAGTGATTTATGTTCGTTCCTAGGAATATATTTTAGGACTAAAATAGACTACCATGTTTACTTTTATCAATACCTTTTGACTTTGGCAAAATAGCTTTGTATTTTGAGGAAAAATCAACCACCTCATTGTCAGTACTGGCCCTCTCACAAAAATTCTTGGACTCAGGAACAGCTACCTGTGTAAATTAATGAAACTGATTTCTGCCTTTGTTCTCATTTTACCTCCTGTTTACACAGGGCTGTAATATTGCATGCATGCTTAATCAGGTGATGACGAAAAAATGATCTAATTCATTGTAGCAAATTAAGATAACTGAGGAAATTAAGAGCTGGGGAACTATAATATATACATACCCGGTACATTGTATATATATATATGTATTTAACAAATTTAATATCTAGAATAAAATAATACATATAATAAAACTGCCCGATAAACAGATTTACTCCTATTTGATACATGCATATGATTTATAATACATTGACATTGCCCCAATCAACATAATAAGAAGGACACACAACTGTGGCCCGGGACCCAACCCCATAATCAAGTCATCAATACATGTAACTTGAGAAAAGAAAGGGGGTTTCAAGACAAGATAAAATTTAGATGTTGATCATCCTGATCCTATTATTAATTATTACACAAAAATGTTTTTTAAAAAAATATTTTTTTTTTAAAAGTACTTATACATGAATATACACATGATGAAATTATGTTGAAATTTTATTTTATAATTTTGATTCAAAATGTGTACTGTACTAAAGACATGTCCTTTGTTTATTGTTTACGGGTTTGGAACCTGTTTAAAACAGGTAGTTATAAGGGTTCTTCATCTTTCAAATTAGTACAGTTGCATGTATGTAAAACTTTATTAATGCAATTATAAATATGTTCGTGTAACATATTCTAAACTGATAATTAATGTGATATCATTTATTGTCATGTATTGACGGATGAAAAGTCCATGATGTTTATATAATTCAACACAGACTGACCACAAAAGATGTACTGTATACATATTCGTGATCAGCTGATCAATTTTACGTTATGTCAGGTCAACTTACCTCTGGCGATCGTAAGCCTCGCTTTTTGACTGATCTTGGAGATTTGGACAGCAATCGTCTCCGGCTTTCCTCAAAACTACTAATAATACTGTCTATTTCTTTCCTGTATTTTATCACCTTCTCCACTTTTGCGAAACATCTGACACATATGCCTGTTGCCTGTGGAGGGAGCTCTACTACCTGACTTATGATGGTCTTTTTTTCATCGGTTAGCTTCAACTTCAATTTATGCAGTTTTTTGACAAAACTCTTCCCCCTCTCGTCAATTTCCTTTACGACGAAGGAAAAACAACATAAACAACACACATCGTTTACGCTATAAATTCGCTGAGGTGTTTTGGGACCGCCTCCGAAATCATCCATATTCATGATACTACCTCGGGATTTACTAATACGTTCGGTGTTCCGATGTATTTTGAGTAAACACCGACGGTTTCAAAGCCGACGCTCTGATTGGCTAAGATAAAGTTCACGTGAACATGACCCCTGGTCGGGTTATGTCAGATCTTCTTACGCAGAGTGTATACGGCGCGGATCTAAGAAGTCTGATTTTAATTAGATTGCCGTTTGGGATAGACTATCCAAATGGGCTATAAATTTACAGTGCAAAAAATGAAAATTTTTATTTTGGATTTAAATATCATAAATCCGCATCAGGGCACCTAAATCTGAATAACTTTTGGTAAGCAAGTTTTTATGCAATCCTACGGTTTGTAAGATTGATCCCCAAGAAGTTGAGGAACTTCCGAGGGATCAATCTCCTAAACAATGGCACTACAGAAAAACTTGCTTACCAAAAGTTATTCAGATTTAGGTGCCCTGATGCGGATTTATGATATTTAAATCCAAAATAAAAATTTTCATTTTTTGCACTGTAAATTTATAGCCCATTTGGGATATTCTATCCCAAACGGCCTATTATATCCCATTTGGGCGAGTGGTCCCAACCTGTTCAACACGACATGTTTATGCTCCAAAAGCTAATTGCTCACAGTATCTCTTGTGTTCTTGTTGCTACACATGATATATCTAAACTTACATAAACTGACAGTTTTCTTTTCTGTATAACAAGTGGATTTACCTGCTGGGTCTTTTCGTCTACTCGATTGTATAGTCTTCTAACGAATGTCGAATCTGACAGCTAGGTGTAGATTACTACGTACTTTCGCTTCATAGTCGTATGTCGATCCCGACTGGAATTCTTGAGAACTACAAATACACTCAATACACAGTCACTTGTTTCGGAAATAATTTTTTACCAAAGTATAATAATATTTCTTTTTATTTATTTTTGGACCGCAATTCAAAACATTTATCGTAAATCTCACATCTATAGCCTTCTAGTTCTAGAATGAACTACATTGTCAGGATGTCTACAGGCGAAAGCCTGTCCACTTGTTTCAGTACAGAGAATGGATAATATACAAAGTACTTTAGTCTTTTCAATGTTTTTTTTTCAACATGTTATCATTTAAATTACAGATGTTCGAAGGACAGTACTTTTTTCGCAAATCTTTGCATTCTTCTAAATTGACTAAAAAATAAGGATTTACCTTACTTGGAGAATCCAATGTTCTGAAGTTGAAAATTAACATTTTTTTAATGTAAGAATTCTTCAAGCAGCTGCTAAATATGTTATCAATTATATCAAATGATGGAAGGTTAAGTTTCTTTTTTAATTTATCAATTTCATTTTTTGACTCTGCCAATCATCATTTATACCATAACTAATACAGCTTGTCATCTTTTAAGAAAGCATCAAGAAGAACTTGATTTGATATCTTATGCCATTTTCATTCTGAACACGTTTTTTAAATCTCTTAAATAGTATTTAAACATAGAGATGAAAGCTTTGCAACAAATAGTGAGTGTACCTAAGTTTAATGGCTAAATTTGAAGCTTTCTCTGTACACCCAAAATAACTACATGTAATTTTAAAAGTTTTTATTAATAAGTAACTATGAAAAGGTAAAGAGCGTTTCATTGCATAAAAAGCTCTTCTTGCAAAGTCAGCTAGTTGATCAGCTGCATACTGAAGCTTACCATATTATAAGTAAAAATTATTCCCAGATATGTATATTCATGTTCAAGATGTACTATTGAATAATAATAATAAAAACAATGTTGGGATGCGTCAATTTTCTTATTTGAGAAAATCATTGCTTTAGTTTTATCAGGGTTAACAGTCAATTTTGATTTTACAAAGGCTTAGTCACAGGGGGGGGCGGCATCGGGGGCACTAGCCCCCCCCCCCCTTTCAGATCGGGGGGGGGGGGGCAAGAGTATGTCTGTGCCCCCCCCCCCCACTTTTTAATGAAGAACAAAATCACAGCTATTTTGAAATAATATTAATACATAGTTGTATAATAAAATTGTGTAGAAAAATAGAAATTGAAAGTAACTTGCCTTCGAAAAAAAAGTTGGCCACTAACCCCCCCCCCCCCCCCCCCACCACACCCCCCCCCCCCCCCCCACGAAATAGGATTTTCGAGTTTGGAAATCTTAATTTTTTTTTTTGGATGTCAAATAATTTCTGGACTTGAGCCCCCCCCCCCTTTTAAGTGTGTTTTTTTTATTTTTTGCTTGTCAAAGAATTTCTGGACTTGAGCCCCCCCCCCCACTTTTAAGTTTGTGACTACGCCTCTGGTATGATAATAAATTAACTAGTTTTTAGAGAATTTGGCATTATCTAAAATTATTAAGACTGAGGAAAAAAAGGATTTTCCTTCCACAAGACTTCATTAATAACATTAATTACTAGCATTATGAATATCTGTCAAAAAACCAGCGTTCCTAGTGTCATCGCCATTGAATAGATTCCCAAAGACAGTTTCATGAATTGCGCCAGTTTTTGCCAATAAATTTCGTGTAGCCGTTATTGATTTTTGGCATAGGCGTAGTCACGGGGTGGGGGGCAGCGGGGGCACTAGCCCCCCACTTTCAGATCGGGGGGGGGGGGGGGGGGGCAAGAGTATGTCTGTGCCCCCCCCCCACTTTTTAATGAAGAACAAAATCACAGCTATTTTTCCCCCAGTGTTACCTTTACTATAGGAAATGTTCACTGAAGGGATAGTTGCCCCCCCCCCCCTTTTTTGACCCTAGTATAGTTATATCGAAGAATTGTGGAAAAATATTGGAATTGAAATAAAGTTGCCTTTATGGTACCCAAGTAAGGCCTTTTCACATGAAATACAACTATGAAGTATGGAAGCCTTACATGTATCTCTAACTGTTCAAAAGTTATCTGCAAGGTTAAAAATTTAAAAAGTAGGTCAAACTCCAAAGTCAAGGGGTAAAAGTTGTTGGTATCTAATGGAAGGTCATGTCACAAGGATTAGATACCGGCATGTAGAGTATGAAAGAAGACTAGGTAAACGTTGACAACACAAACAGTCAGACAGACAGGACAAAAACAATATACCCCCGGGATCTTTCGATATTAATTGTAAGAAATTCTGATTATTTTTTTTTCAAGTTGAATGCCCGATTGGGGCTTAGAAAAGTCCCAGGACGTAGACGAATTGCCATGAGAAAAGTTGGTGGACATAAATTTTTTTATGACTTAAAAGTGTTGTTGATATTAATTAATTTACCAGGTAATTTAAATTTGACTTTTACTTACATCACCCTTTGACCTACTGATAAACTTTTTGACCAACATGTACTAATCTACACTTTAATTTTGTTCTGCAACTGTCAATGGCAAGGTTGTTTTTCATGATCGGCATGAGAATATCATTTATGGTGAATAGTGAAACACGTACACATCGTCACGTATTGTAAATTTAATTTCATCAAGATGTGTTTGTGAAACACTGATGGCAGCCTATGACAAAGGTTAAAGTTTCTCAAATAGACGTCAAACTCCAAGCTCAAGGTCAAGAGATCATAAATAATGCTAAACAAAACTTGACCTAAACAATAAACATATGAAAGCAGGCACGTAGCATCGTTTTTGAAAGTGGGGGGGCCAACCTGAGAAAATTTTTTTTACTAACCTAAAAAAAAAGTTGACAAGCAAAAAAAAAAAAAAAAAAAAAAAACGAAAATTGTAAATTACCCAAACTCGAAAATCCTATTTCGTGGGGGGGGGGGGGGGGCAATTTTTTTCAAGGCAAACTTCCAATTTTTCCTATATATTCTTGCTATGTATATACTGTGTTAAAAAGTAGGGGGGCCAATCATCTTTTCAATAGACATTTTCTATACTAAAGGTAAAGTTGGGGAAAAAAGTGGGGGGGGGGGGGGGCCGGCCCCCCTGGCCCCCCCGGATACTACGTGCCTGGAAAGCCCAAGCAACAACCATTCTAGCCTAGTAAAATTCTTACAATTGTAGAACTTGTGCCCGAGAAAAGGGCCTTGTTACTTAATTGAAATATACATGTGAAATAGCACCAACCGTTCAAATCTTACGTTGTGACCAAGGTTAAAGATTTTCAAAAGCAGGTCATTCATAAACCTCAGGTCAAGTTCTAAGAGGTTTAAATTGTTTTCAAAAGAAGTTCTTGTCAAAAGGAAGATATTACAGGGGCGAAGCAACAGGGGGGGGGGGGGGGACTGGCCTCCCACTTTTCTTCCCAACCTTAGGAAATGTTAATTGAAAGCCTGGTTGCCCCCCCCCCCCCACTTTAGAATTTTAGTGATATACTTTTAAAATTGGTACTAAAAGTAGTTGAATAGAATAGAATAGAATATTTATTCAACCAATTTGGGCCCACAGTGGAGCATACAGAACAATGTCCAAAATCATCACAGTTATACATACAACAAGAGGCCCATGGACCACATCGCTCACCTGAGCACTGTGGCTAGGAAAAAGCAGAATTGGTTTATAATTGAAAAGCTTAAATCCAAAAGTAGACCAAAGACCAATCATGGCTTTGCAATTCTTGAGAAGAAGATTATTAAAGAATTTTCCTATGTATACATTTCTATGTTAAACTATGGTCAGCCATTTTGGCCCCGCCCTACCCCTGGGGGTCATGATTTGAACAAACTTGAATCTACACTACCTGAGGATGCTTCCATATAAATATGATCAATTATGGCTTTGCTATTCTTGAGAAGAAGATATTTAAAGAATTTTCCTATACATTTCTATGTAAAACTTGGATCGGCCATTTTGGCCCCGCCCTACCCCTGGGGGTCATGATTTGAACAAACTTGAATCTACACTACCTGAGGATGCTTCCATATAAATATGATCAATTATGGCTTTGCTATTCTTCAAAGAAGATATTTAAAGAATTTTCCTATACATTTCTATGTAAAACTTGGGTCGGCCATTTTGGTCCCGCCCTACCCCTGGGGGTCATGATTTGAACAAACTTGAATCAACACTACCTGAGGATGCTTCCAAATAAATATGATCAATTATGGCTTTGCTATTCTTGAGAAGAAGATTTTTAAAGAATTTTCCTATGTATTTCTATGTAAAACTTTGGTCAGCCATTTTGGCCCCGCCGTACCCCTGGGGGTCATGATTTGAACAAACTTGAATCTACACTACCTGAGGATGCTTCCATATAAATATGATCAATTATGGCTTTGCTATTCTTGAGAACATTTTTAAAGAATTTTCAAATATATTTCTATGTAAAACTTTGGTCGGCCATCGTGGCCCAGCCCTTCCCCGGGGGTCATGATTTGAACAAACTTGAATCTACACTACCTGAGGATGCTTCCATATAAATATGATCAATTATGGCTTTGCTATTCTTGAGAAGAAGATATTTAAAGAATTTTCCTATATATTTCTATGTAAAACTTTGGTCGGCCATTGTGGCCCCGCCCTACACTCGGGGTCATGATTTGATCAAACTTAAATCTACACTACCTGAGGATACTTCCATATAAATATGATCAATTATGGCTTTGCCAATCTTCAGAAGAAGATATTTAAAGAATTTTCCTATATATTTCTATGTAAAACTTTGGTCGGCCATTTTGGTCCCGCCCTACCCCTGGGGGTCATGATTTGAACAAACTTGAATCTACACTACCTGAGGATGCTTCCATATAAATATGATCAATTATGGCTTTGCTATTCTTCAGAAGAAGATTTTTAAAGAATTTTCCTATACATTTCTATGTAAAACTTGGATCGGCCATTTTGGCCCCGCCCTACCCCTGGGGGTCATGATTTGAACAAACTTGAATCTACACTACCTGAGGATGTTTCCCCTTAAGTTTCAACTTTCCTGGCACAG